ATTCCCCCTTTCTGTCTGTCTTTACGATAAGAGAAACTATCGCTAGTGAATTGTTACACTGTAAAACAGCCTTATAAATTAGGGCTATTTTTATTATATCAAGTTCTCCAGCTAATGATCTGACCACTTATTTTCATTCAGATGACATCATTATATTTTCTTCCAATTTTAGCATAATATGACCTCCTTCCTGATTTTCTTCTCGTTGATCTTTGTAACCTGTAATCTATATAACTGTAATACTTTCCATCCCAGTATAGACTCACACTAGTCACAGCCATTATTCAGTGTACATGACCCATATTCAGGAACTACTTAGGTACAAAACATGATGCTACGACTTGCTTGCACTGATGTCAGTGGCGCAATTGTTACGCTCTTTGCAGTAGCAGAGATATGATGTGGGTTCAATGCGGGCCTGAAGTAGTTATTTTATCAAGTACACGTACATCCTTTTGTCAAATGAGATATTGTATACCACTCAGGATTGGCTTTAATCGGCAGGGCTGGATAGCCCGCCTCCGAAATGATTTATTTTTTGCTTGCGTTGACTTGAGACATTTACAACCAGATCTATCCACTTACGGTAGTTACCGGTATTTCAACATCATGATTCTTAGAAAAGAGGAAGCTATGATTCATGCCCCTGTAAACAAAAAGTCTTCGTAAAATAGTCACTTGATTCTAAGGTCTTTGCCTACATTTTATAACCCTTCAAACTTTCCCCCCAAATCATGAATAGCAAAAGAACACTACATTTATTAACAAATCAAATAGTCTAACCAAAAGACTTCTTCAGAACCAGAACGAGATAAAAAATGGACACAGGATAAAGAAAATGGAGCAGTCATAAAATCATCAATGTAGTAATTATAATTTTGTTTTCGACAATTGATTTCAGTGACTTACTGCATTGTGGTGTAGACCACACCCATGTCTTGTGCGTAGAAGTCGTTGCGCTGGTAGATAGCACTGAGATCCCGTGACATGTCATTCATTCTGTAGGCCATACGGTTCAGTTCTCGCTCCAACATGTCGATCAGGGGGCTGAGTTCTTCTTTTACAGAGCTCGACACAGCACCATATTTGGCAGCGAACTGAAGCCATGAACAAAAATAGCTTTTATTTATAGTGAATATAACATTCCTCCAGGTACAATGGGCACCGCTGAAATATTGGTGCCACAATCCAAAATAGCAAACACAATTATGCACACAAAGAGAACGAGAGAGGTTGAGAAAGAGAGAGATTGAGAGAGAGAGAGAGAGAGAGAGAGAGAGAGAGAGAGAGAAAGACAGACAGACAGACAGACAGACAGACAGACAGACAGACAGACAGACAGACAGACAGACAGACAGAGAGAGAGAGAGTGGGGTAAGGTGAAGAGAGCAAAAGCTAATTAAATGTCAGAAAAAGCCCAAGATAGAAACAACAGTTATAATATTCACCTCATCAGCAACAGCAGCGTTGAGCAAAGCCCAGTTTTCAGCGGCCCTGATGCCGGCACGCGTTGCCTTCCCCTCAAGTCCGGAAGTAAGCTCCGCCCACATGTCTGGGCGCCATGCCAAGCGGCTGTGCAGGAGGCGTGTCGTGTTGAGTCGGACAGCAAGAAGCGCCTCCTTGTGGCGAACGTCGGGGGTGGAGTGCGAAATGAAGGCGTTGAAAGCGGTGCTGTTGGGGTACACGGCTGTCAGGCTGTATGTCTCTGAAGAAAGAAAGAGTTGAGAGGTCAGACATGGATTAAAATAATTGCGCCCATTTCTATGAACTTGACCCAATCGAAATGGGTGCAGTACCACACGGCATTCTAAGAGCTATCTAGTAGTAATTTGGTTTGCTGACTTCATATAAACAAACATGATTTCAGGAGAGCAAACAATTTAGCAAAAACCGTGATAAAAAAGCTTTTCAAAAGTCGGACTTCTAGTCTATTACCACGATACTGAATTTAGAAAAGAAAAAAATCAACATAAGTCATGACTACCCCACTGAGTGTGTTTTAATGATCAATTTTCGACCCCCACTTTATTGTAATCAGAAAGATTGCTCGTGCTCTAGTTGTTTTTTTTTTCAATCTGTAGTTTTATAAAGACCTTTAATTACACAGACTCGTTCCATCCTAGCGTTTGTGGTATAGTGCTAAGGTGCTTCGTCGTCGCCCGCAGAAGACCCGAGTTCGATTCCCGTGGGGGGGGGGGGAGAATATTCATCGAGTGTATTGATCTTTCAGTTTGAACGTTATATCACTCTCGGACCAAGTTGGTCCTTACGTGTAAGGTCGAAGCCAGCCTTTAAAATGATCTAAATTGTGTGGATTCTTTCTGTCTCTTTATTTGGTGGGACTGGGGAGACATTTATATTATCTCCTTTAGGAGAATGTCTTTAATTCGTCATTTCTTTGTCATCAGAGTCCATTGTTTCACTCTTTGTGTAACATCCAGAGGGCCATTGTAAATCTCATTGACTCTTACGTTAACTCTTCGTGTTATCTTCCCATACAATCGTCTGTGGGGTAATAGAAAGGCTCTTCGTAGTTGCACTTTGAAGAAATGGGGGCTCTCGTGGCTTAGAGGTTAAGGTGTTGGCCTCTCATTCAAAGGTCCCGGGTTCGAATCCGGGTATCGACCGAAAAGTTTTCTTCTCTAAAATTGTCTCCGTTCACCTCCTTTCCGGCTCTCTAGCAATATTCTGTCTTCTGCTTTCGTCTCCTCTTTCTGCCCCCACCCCCTCACCTCCCTTGCCCCCTCCACTGGGCTCCTGACTCTTTCTGCAGCCTTTCTACTGCTACTCCTTGACTCCTTCTTACAGCTGTCTTTCTACCACACCCCTGATCTTCTGGTAGGAAAGATCTACACCTAACCTTCTCGGACAAGGGCGAAAAATCTCGGAGGGGCCGTGTGCAAGTTGCGCACGTTAAAGATCCCTTGGTGGTCTAAAATCGATAAGAGTAGGCTTCGGCCACCGCCCGGGCAAAATTCAAAATTTCCTACCAACGAAAAAGTATTAGGTGTGTCCGCGCGCTCATATGACCTTATGCAGTTGCGAGCGCCGTAAAACCCTATACTAAACAACGAAGAAATGCGTTCGATTCCTGTGGGAGAATGACATTTCACACGAAGTAGCTCCGTCTGTCAGTGTTGATAATGTTTTGCACTGAGGTCGTCTCGTATGATTTTTGAAACTGTCGATGGGGAAGAGGTAAAATTTACAATAAACCTATAGATGCCCTCTTGTCGCTTTTGCAACAGATAGAGGGTTGTGTATAAAGAACAAATTCGTCGACGACACAAAGGTTAGGATGTGTATAGGTGGAGGAGGAGGATGCGGGGGTGGAGGAGGAGGAAGAGGAGGAGAAGGAGGAGGAGTAGGGGAGGAGGCGGAGGAAAGGAGGTGGATAAGGAGGAGGAGAAAAGAAATAGAAGGAGGAGATGGAAGAGAGGTTGAAAAAGATCAAGAACTAGAAACTAACTAGGCCAAGACCAGGAACACGAAGAACAAGAATGGAAAAACGTAGTTAAAGATGACGCAGTGGTTCAAGAGAAATTTCTTTAAAAGTCAACAAATGAAGCACAAGGACCGAGAGACAAGGAGCGAGTCTGCTTGGAAGAAGAGAAAACCGGACATTGAAGGAAAAGAAAGAGAATGAGAGAAGAGGATGATGCAGAGAAAAAGAAATACAAGTCCAGCCACTTAACGCACTGACAGTTACTGCAAAACCGTAATATTCAGTGAAATATGTAACTCAACCCAAAGTATACGCTTTGATTATATTTAATTTATATCAAAAATAGAAAAACAAAGAATAATATAAAACTTCAATGATAAAAGCTAGTTACAATTTCAAGTATTTCAGAAACGGATTTCGAAAGTTGTCGGAACACTCTACATAAGTTAATAGCAAAACATAAGGTTCATAATATCATTGGTCCTCGGACGATCCAAGTCCGTGTGGAGAGAAAGAGGGCGTTTTCCTTCTTTACATCCTGTACTTCCTCAGCTTCTTTCCTCCCTTCTTCATTCTGAACCTGCGGGAAGGTGTGTACTTTGAGAGACGAACCTCGTCGGTGTCTTCCTTCTCCTCAACCTCTTTCGCGGCTTCAGGCCACATGTCTGAGACGGACTGGGAAAGTGAGGAAAACATGGTTCTCAGAAAAGTTCACAAATTGTTCTTGTTTTTGTTTTTGTTGGTTTGATTTTGTTGTTGGTTTTTTTGGTGTTGTTTTTTTGGTGTTTTTTGGGGAGGGGGGTTATTGAGGTGGAAAGGGGGTTCTACATTGTATTTTGTACCAGAATGGTAACGTGTGAACCCATGTAGGGGTTCCCCCTGTGTCTTTTTGTTCGTTTTATTGTTTCGTATTGTTTTGGGCCTTTTTGTGCCTGGTTTTATTTTTCAATATTTATATTGCACTTTTTAAAGTTTTGTGGGGTGCCTTTTGTGGGGAAGGGGGGGGGGGGTCCTTGAGGAAAAAGGGGGGGGGGGGTAATTAGGCTTCATTCGTATTAGACTAAATGAACTTTGGAACAAAAGCAAGTAGCTAGACTTGGAGTCAAACGGACAATCAATTTGTCTGAAATACAGGGAAATAACAATTTCGTTTGTGTATACCCCGGAGTTAAAAAGGCGCATTTTTCTTTTAAAGAATATAATCCACTAGGACCTGTTCGTGTGCAGTAGGCTTATGTTATATTCTTTAAAAGCTAAAAAAAAACTACAACAAGAAAAAGATAATGAATTTAATACACACCTGTTTCATGTTCTCCCAAGTGCTCTGGTCAGGCAAATAGACGGCCACTTCTTGGGCGAACCTCTCAGCTCTGTTCACAAGGGGGCTCATGTCTGGCATTTCGTCGAGTCTCTTGAGGGCAAAGGGCAAAGGAATCTCGGCCTGGATCTCTCCCTGCTCTGGCGCCCACACGGTGATGGGGTTCTTGAAGAGTTTGCGGTGGTGATCGGACAGTTCTTTGAGCTCATCCTCAACAATCTCACGGAGCAGCTTGGC